AGGATCCCCATATACCTTTTTACAGCAGACACTATGATGTCTTCTCCATCAATCTTAACAGTGTAGCGTGCCAAACTATCAATCCCTGGATAATCCTCAATGTCTCCAGTGGTAACGTTGAAACAAGCACCATGCCAGGGACACCTTACCCTACCATCACCAAGATAACTGAGAGAGAGAGAGGGGAGAGAAGAAACATATTAGGCACCATTAACATATATGTACATAATGTATGATAAGGATGTATGGTTAGTGTCAGTATTAAATGTAAAGTGGAGGTCATTACCCTTTCACTAGTGGTGCCCCATAGTGGGTGCATTTGCTGGATACAGCTGTAAAGCAGCCATTTTGATGGACTAGTAAGGCCTTATGGTCGCCATCAATCTCTACCTCTTTCATCCTATGAGCAGAGAGAGAGAGAGAGGGTGGGAGGGAGGGAGAAGACAAGATGATGAGAATAATGAAGTGTTACTTACTGTCCTTCTGGTAAATCGCTTGTTTTTCCAACATTTTTCTCTACAATGTCGTTCGAGCTCTCATAACTCTTGCTCTCTCCCTCGTCTCCAGTTCCTTGAGGTTTAGGTTCTTCTTCAACTTGAGGAGGAGGAGGAGTATTAGCTGGTTCAGCTGGAGCTGCAGCTGTTGCAGGTTCACTCTCTCCACCTTTTTTAGTCTTTCTCTTCCCACCACTACCAGTACCAGCAGTGCTGCTCTGTTTATTACCCATTATTGTACTAATGGACCTTGTAATCAATATACTACTGAATATACGACCATTAATTTGTTGACTTTGTGCGGTAGGTCTGGAGTACAACCCGGGGCTACAGTTTTGATAAGCAGTACTACTACTATTGTTCTTTAAGCCTGGGGGCCACGTTAAAGAGAATCCACTGCAACTGCTCCTTCTGCTGCACCAGCTGCTCGTCCTCCTGAGACTGAGGAGTAGGAGAAGAGAGGCGGGCGAGGAAGGAAAGAGATCCTTGTTTAAATTGAGCCCAACAAAGCGGATAACAATCATCCTATCACGTTTAGACAGGGCGGGGTAACCACACCCACCAGCAAATTTATAATTAATAGGCGTGGTTGTTTTGAAGCTATGTCCCGCCCATTGTCCTAATGTGTAAGTATTTAGATCAGCAACTATTTTAGTTCATTTTATCATGTCTCCGTCTTTTCTGTCCTGTTTTAGATCATTTTACTATCTCCTTCTCATCCTTCTCTTCCTATCTCCTTCAATATCAGCTCAAGAATGTGAGTTTATCATTGAGAAATGACTTAATATTTAATATTCATTATTATTATTATTATTGTTATTGTTATTCATTAGTATCTGATAAACTGCTCCACTATGAGTTGATTCATAAAAATGATTTCCGTCACAATGCCATACCAGAGAAGCAAGAGGCTCCAACCGATGCTGTCAAACTAGTCCAACAGGTTCACTTCTACGCACTGAACAGGTTAAATATATTATCATTTATTATTATATTTATTATATTTATTTTATGGTAAAAGGGAGCAGTATAGTTCATGTATATACAATAGTTGGGTCTCTGTGGTCATCATTAGTTTATTGATTGTCATCATACAGTGTTATTGTGTTAGCAGACACTTTAAAGCATATTTTAGTGTAATTATGATACTCATTGAGCAGCTATAAATATATCAATTAGAGAAATTTAATATTCAAATTATGATCAGTCA